TCCTAAGCCCCACCATCCAAAAACACCTACACGGTGCTTTCAGCGTTCACCTCGCCGGAGGAAGTCTCAGCTTCAGGCCATGTTTTTGCTAAACCCCCAGAGTAGCCGTTATAGTGTAACCCCTACAGTAGTAACCTAGTAACGTGTATAGTGCTTCGAAATACCTCCAACACCCTATTCTAACGACCAGGGCCCATATACAAGGTAATCCATCCTAAATCTTCAGCCCGCAATCCTACACCCTCGTCCATACACCCTAAACCCTAAACTAAGCCCTAAACCCCAAACCCCTAAACCCTAAACTCCAACCTTAAAGCAGCCTCAACCCTCCGTGCCTGCCTCTGGCAAAAGGAGGGGCGCAAACGAAGGAGGAAGTCCGGAGCTCGGCATCGGAATGCTCTTATCAGTGTCGGGTCTAGGGTTTAGGGTTGGGGTTTAAGGTTCGGCTTGAGGGTTTAGGGTTTAGGGTTTAGGGTTGAAGCTTTAAGGTTTAAGGTTTAGGCTTAAGGGTTTAGGGTTGAAGGGGGTTCAGGGTTGAGGGTTGAGCCTGTGTTATTGATGCTTCTTCCGGCTGGTGAGTTGGCCAAATGGGGGTCCCTGTTCGGGTCTTTACTCATATGGCGGGAGTGATGTAGTCCTTTGTGGATCCCACAATGGACTCGGCTTTAGAGAACTATGTATTGTTAGATGCTCGACAGAAGCCGGGTTTCCCTCTATCTCCCGTCCTCTTTTGCCTTGTTGACGTCGGTCACGTGGCTAAGCCCCATCCCCTGGTGCTGGCAGTCAACGCATGCTTTATTTCCCCACTTGGGAGTGCTACGACTATGGTTTATGAGCACTACAGTCGCCACATGTTGTTGCTTTAAAACTTGAATCCCCTAAGCCTTCACTTTACAATACAACACAAGACCGACAGCTGCATATGCAAGACTAACCCACCAAGCACTACAACCAACATGACAAGCCCCTCATGCAAAACAGAACACGCATCGAACACCATAAAACCCTAAACCCTAAAAGCACGAAACGCACGAATCGTTGCCAACACGAAGTTTTGGGTTTAGGGACCCCTGAACCCCAAACCCTAAACCCTACACCCTAAACCCTAAGCACAAACGCAAGTCCCAAGGCGCCGGCGGCGAAGGCGGGCTGACGGGTTAAGGGGTTTCGGGCAAGCCTGGGGATTGGCTTTAGGGTTTGGGGTTTAGGGGATTTGGGGGTTGAACAGGTTTGGGGAGTGGAAGGGTTTGGGGTTTTTGTAAGTTGTAGGGTTTAGGGATAAGGTTTTCGAGGGATTTACAGGGTTTGGGAGTCACAGGGTTTTGGGCCACGGATTAACTGGCTTAGGGTTGGGCTTTCGGAATTCGGATTTGTCGAGTTTGAGGTTTGCGTTGGATCAATGCCGCATGTGATGGCTGGCATGTCGTTCTACCACTGCAATGTTTCGGTTGCTGCATCTGCTTTCTAGAACCTCGGAGAACTTGCAAGAAGATTCCTCTAGCCCTGGTTAGAGGCCGGACCAAATACCAATAGTATTCCCGTATTCCAATCATTAGTCCTCAGCAGCGCCATCCCTGTTGGCAGATGACGGCCAGTGTGCTTTTGCCAGGGCTGCAAGCAGCTCTTCTTAAGCCGCGCGAGGGCATACAAACACAGTCGAGCGACACGCTGTCAAGTATGTATCAACGTGTGTATGCATGTGCTTATGTAGGCATGTAGGTATGTTGTATGCATGTATGTATGGATGGATGTATTTATGTATGTGTGTATGTATGTACGTAGACACGTATGTGTGTATGTATACGTTTGTTTGTTTGTTTGTATGCATGCATGCATGCATGCATGCATGCATGCATGCATGCATGTATGTATGTATGTAGGTACGTGAAGGACTCCACGGAATAGCTTTACCATTTCAACCAGTCCCTTTCCTAACCCCCAAACCCTAAACCCTAAACCTAAACCCTAAACCCTAAGCCCCCTTCCCATCTGCGGCCTCATCTTGTCGTAGGGCACCCCTTTGGCTGCAAGGCGCTCCACTTTCGCGGGGTCTGCCAGGTAATCGTCCTCGGTTTGTCAGACCCTAAACCCTAAACCCTAAACCCTGAACCCTAAACCCTAAACCCTAAACCCTAAACCCTAAACCCTAAACCCTGAACCCTAAACCCTAAACCCGAAACCCGAAACCCTGAACCTTGACCGGCCAA